TAGCCCCCAATTAAATAGCATTTTACATGTATAGTATTTTGATTATAACATGAAAACCAGTGAACCGATTTCGATAAATAATGTCTCATTCGAAAGCTTAATCCTTGGCCAATACGAAAGTGGAAATGCCCGTGAAAATTTGAAAACTCTTTCGAATTTCGCTAAAACGTCAAAATAATGCGAAGATACACGAAAATAACACAAAATTGACCTTCTTTAAGTGGTGATAACTCGTAAACGATGTACCCGATGATCAAAATCTATACGTCACTCGATTCGTCATAGTGTCTTCTATCGAAATCACAAAATGCTCGATTTCAATTCTCTCCCGCTAAGTTTATACAGCCCTCGGAATGACACCGTCTTCGGCTCGTTGTTTATGCACGTGTGAACGCTCAAAATTAATTTAAACTAAATCGACTATAATTAGAGAAAAGTTTGACGGATTTTAATATTTTATATCTCAATCGAAAGTTTGTGTCTGGCTGAATGCTGTTGTCGAAATGCCCGATTCGAAATGTTTAAGGATTTTGAATTAAACACACAAATTATCTCCGTAACTAATTGACCAATTTTAGTCATCAAAATCTCGGTCGAAAGTATGATCTGCAATGAATGCGAAGGTGGAAATGCCCGATTTCAAAATTTACTAATTATGTGCGTACAGCCATTGAAATGACCCTGCGAGAGATTTCGAGTCGGGCATTTCCACTTTCGTATTGGCCAAAGATTAAGCTTTCGAATGAGATTTTGATTATCGAAATCGGTTGACTGGTTTTGTTGTTATAATCAAAATACTATACATGTAAAATCCTATCTAATTGGGGGCTAGAAAACTTTGGAGCTAACCTCGCATAGGTCATAATGATTAAGTGCCTGTCGTTACATAGACTGTGTGTCTATTAACTATGTACAAGAGCGTCGCCAGATAGGAGCAAAGATAGATTCGAAAAAAGAAATTGAATAGAATATAAGATACAAGTAGATTCTAAAACTCTATTTGAAATGTTTATAATCTGTTATAGCATTTAAATAGAGAGCATGAGAGTTAAATAAAAATTTGTTATTAAAAGACTTCAAACCACTTAAATATTATAATTAGGATAATTATTAGTTAGTTTAACTTTATTTTGGAACTTAATAACACATACTATTGAAAATCCCTTTCGTAGTTACAAAGTTTTAACATCAAAAGGTCATAACGTAGGATGAAATATTCGTGAAATCCTTTGGTCAAATCTGAAAGAGAAGAATAATAAACCTTATTTTGGAGAAATACAAAAGATTAAGGTAGAAATGCAATTAATGGGTACTTGTGGGTGTGTAATGGGCATGTTTCCACTCGGAAACAAAAAAGATGGAAGGTGCTGTAAGGTTGTATCGTTTCGAAAAGGCAACTTTTTTGCATATTTTAAGTTACAAATCCATTGAATCCACTTGGCGTCATGCGAAGAGTAGTATGTCAACATCTGGCCGTACTAAAAGTCATCTCACAGGAAATCTCGCCAAATATATTTTCCACAAATCGTGCACAGCGAAGAAGCTTGATAAGGCGGCGGAATTTTATCGAATAGCTGCGATTATGTAAGTACGACCCTATGAAGCCAGCTGAGCAACGGGACCTGGAGGAAATCGAAAATGAGTATCCATCCGATAACGAACCGTCTATACAGGGTGTATCTGAATGACTACAACAAACTTCAAGGGGTGATTCTTTAGTGAATTTGAAGGGTACTTTGATATATGAACCATGGGCGACTTCGGCTCCCCTAAGGAGATTTTTCTAATGTATTTATCATCTGCAAAAAAAAATTTTCGCAAAAATGTAAAGGGGGTGGTTACGTTTAGTAGTTTAGAAGGGTAGGTTGAAAGTACAAATAGGGTCAAAACGTGCCCCATTATGAGTTAAACATATTCCCCAAATTTCATTTTCCTAGCGTTTATGGTTTTTGAGAAAAATAAATTAAACCAAAATTTTCCGCTATTTTTGGAGGGGTGTAGCTCCTTAGGGGAGCCGAAGTCGCCCATAGTTCATATATCAAAGTACCCTTAAAATTCACTAAAGAATCACCCCTTGAAGTTTGTTGCAGTCATTCAGATACACCCTGTATTAGAAAATAAAGTAAATTTTATATAAATTTTTAATATAATAATTTTTAGCTATAGTACCGTAAATTACAGGAAACTGTAAATTTAATTTCTTTGACGACACTAAAAAAAAGCTTTTTTTTAGCTTTATTCTAAAACAATAAGAAATAAACCTATCTAACCCCATATTTTTGTAATCAGAAAAAAATTACGAATTTAATAAGCGAATAATCAGTGGTTGTTTCAACAAAAAACAAAAGACGATAGCGCTTTGAGGATTTCGACATTAGAATTTATTTAAAAAAAGAGATTATTAGCTACTTTTATTCTAACTCTTATAGTTTCCGAGATAACCTATTCGGATATCGAATTTGAACCACCCTGTACATTAATTGTTATTTTAATTTTAAATTTCCGTTTGATTTAATTTACAAATTCTTTGTAATTTTGTATTTTACAATAAATAATTTTATAATAATATATTTTTAAATAATTTTAATTCACGGTTAATTAAAGCAGAAAGGAAGCGGTGTTTATTTAACGATGTTCTTATATTAATTGAATTATTTTCTCTCCAAAGAATTAATTTTAATTAAGTTCTGTTTTTTTTATTCAAATGATTCTTTCTAATTAATTAGATTGAGTGAAACAATTATTTAATAGAAAGTGGACGATTTTCCGCTCGATTTGTCGAAGAAGTAAATCGCTTTATTTGAAAGGAATTTTCGAGATGGGCGATTAATCAAGAGTATTTTTCTTAATTACTTTTCAGTCCCGAGAGGTTTTTATTTTATACTCCTTTTAATATAAATAAATAAAATATTTTTAAAAATATTTGAGGTTATGTTTTTAAAAAATTAAGTAAATTTGATCGATTTTAACATAAGCATCGGTGGTTCAATGGTAGAATGCTCGCCTGCCACGCGGGCGATCCGGGTTCGATTCCCGGCCGATGCATTTTTTTTTATTTGTCATTTTCATCTTTTTATACTTTAATATAAAAACTTTAAGAAAATAATGGAATGCTTTTATAAAACATCATAAAAGACACGTTAATAACGTTGTTTTTTTGCATAAACTTTACGTTTCCGCGTAAAACATCCCGACAAAGTCGTGGGATCGAGATCGTAAAATACGAATCCCTTCAAAATTGCATTTGGGGGCTGGATTAAGTTTAACGATAGACACATAGAAAATGAATACTTAAACGTGGCTTTTTTATAAACAATTATTTTCTCTTGCAGATCGTGATTATTACAACGTTTTTCCGAAACGTGGTTTTTCGTTGTTGGCTCGTTGGAAACCGTTTAATAATCTCGGTAAAAATCGAGCTTCAATTCGAGAACACAACACCAAAATGAAGACTGACGTTGAAACTCGAGCCCATTCAAGACCGGCTGGTCAACCTTTGAGATGGGGAAAATAAACAATTAATTAATTAAAAATAAAAAAAATGTCAAGAAAATGTACTTTTAGTGTTAATTAATTTGATCAAATTAATAAAACTAACCAAAAAAAAATGATCCAATTAATTTTCTCTAAAAACAATAGTCAAATAACATAATAGTAATAATAATAAATAAAAAATAAGACTGCGTCGACCGTAATTACAACGTATTTTAAATTTATAAAAAAAATTTGTTGTAAATTCATTTTCGAAACATTTTAAATTAACTAATTCCATTAATAAACTTTATATGTCTGTGTTAAATTTTCCTTTCTTAATAAATAAGTGTATTTTCATTATTAATTTTCGTTTTTATTCAAAATTTCCCCTTAAGTTAATTCCAGTTATATGATTCATATTTCTTTGTATTCGATGACATCGCATTTCCTGTGAAAATACCGTTTTCAAGAACATCGACCTCCTCCACCTCCTCGATTTAAAAAGGGCTTCTCTTTCATCGTTTCATCATTTTGCCTCTATTCAAGCGTTTTCCATCCGCTTCTGTCAGCAGGTCTAATCAAATTCTTCACGACTCAATCGCTGCTCGATAACTTTTTCTATACACATAAAAATTATCTTTATTTCCTGTTTACATAAAGCTTATTTTGGCGTATTAATATAATTGATTAAATTTTAATCATAAAGATTGATACCAAAACTAATTTCACTTGTATAAATGATCCTAAATTATCGGTAAAGTGGAAGTTTATGGTTTAATTCGAGTACCAAACTGCAACAACTAGTAACTAGCATGAATATTAACTAGCATCGTATGTTATTCTTGTTTGAATGATGTTCGTGGGGTTATTGAAATGTTTTGATTAAAGTTTCTAAATTAATTACTTTTTAACGTTTAATTGACAGTGACATTTCAAAATGACGTTGGTTTAATTTAAAAAAATCACCTAGTTTATGTTGGTAATAATTTCTTTTCTGACGAAATGAATACGTAATATAAATAGGAATGTAATGAATATCTTATAATATTAACCAGGTTTGGCGTAATAAATAAATTAATATAAGTACGAAGGCTTTCACGGCCGGTGTTAATTAAACTAAAAGTAAAACTAACACTAGCACTATCACTAGGACTAACCAGTGGCGTAACTAGAAAATATGGGCCCAGGCGCAAAATTTTGTAAATGGCCCCTGTCTTTATAGCAAAGGTAGTAATACTATGTATACATATTATGGTATACAGAAAAAAAACACAAATTAAGTTGAAAATACTTATTTATTTTCAAATTTACTAACAAAAAACCAAGAACTAAGAACTAAATTATTACAAAAGTTGTTTTCTTCTAGATTTCATCGCTGCAAATATACTTATTAAATTTTTTAAATCCATTTTCTTAGCCTCACTGCTTTCAATTGCTAATATAGAAAGATCATTCAGCCGCGATTGTCCCATACTATTTCTTCTATAGTCCTTTATTATTTTTAACTTGCTAAATGATCTTTCTACAGAAGCAACTGTTACAGGGAGTGTGAAGAACAATATAAAAACAGAAAATACATCCGATATATCAGTTTCTAAGCAATTATATTTGGTCATTACTAAGTTAGCAAAATCTTTTACACTTTGCAATTCTTTTAACTTGTATAAATTGCAATGAAAATTGTTCACTTAAAAAAGTTGAATACTTCTTTTGTAATTTTTCACATTCTTTTAAAATATCTTTGTCTTTTAACGTTGATAATCTTTGTGGATCCAGAAATCCAAAATAATTTCTTAATTTTTCCATGCTTTTAAATCTTTCATGTAGTTGATGTGAAATAGTATCTATGACAACATTAAATATTCCAACTCTAAACATATCTTCTCTTGAAGAAAAGTGATAATTTTTCGCCAATTCATCAAAATGGTGTTTCACTTTAGGCTGTCGTTTCTTTTGAAACTCAAGGGGAACATTCCAAGTTCTTGCAATTTCTGCAGCCTCACCTTTTATTTCAGTAAATTTTGATCTACTTTCTGAAACTTTATTATAAGCTTGGTTCAAAACAGTTTTGGCTTCATCTAAATCTACATTTTTCTTTTGTAGAACTTTTGAAGCTAAATTAATTTCTGCTAGAATTTTATGCAAAAAGACGCACATAAAAATAAACTCAAATTTTTCCATTCTATCTTTTATGTTTTGAGCTTCATCACGAATTTCTTTTTTCTCTGTCAACATCAAGTGTGTTAAAGATTTTATAATATCTAAATAACGTAGTTTCACAGCTAGTAGAGAAGTCAATCTTCCAGACCATCGAGTAGGATTTAATTTTTTTAAAGTTACATTTGATTCGCCTGTGAACTTTGAAAGCAAATCCCATCTATTAATAGAATTTCCAAAAAATGAATATATTTCTTGGAGTGTAACGAAAAATGCGGACACATCTTTATTTTTCTCTATTGCATCTTTTATGACAAGATTTAAATTATGGCTTGCACAATGAACGTACTCTGCATTTTGTTGAATGTTCTTTATTTTTTGTTGCAGACCATTGTATATACCACTCATTACATTTGCTCCGTCGTATCCTTGACCAATACATTTTTCAATTGGTATCTTCATTTCGTCTAATATGGATAGAACTTTATTTTTCATTCCCTCAGCAGTTTTTTACCCGTTCTTGGGAATTTTAAAAAGTTTTAAACACAAAATTTTACTAATTAAAATCTTAAAATTTTTTCAAAATCGTTTGAGGGCCCAAGGGCCCTCAGGATCGACGGGCCCCGACGCAATGCGTCCTTTTGCGACCCCGTAGTTACGCCACTGGGACTAACACTAGACCTAGAACTAAAAACTTTCGGGTTAAGCAGTGCGTCTTTTGAAAAAATGTTTGACGTTTCGAATGCCATGTTGCAACCTTCTTCAGAAACAAGTTCGAATTTGTTCTAGTGATATATGTTAGTTCTAGTTTTAGTGTAAAATAAGTTAATCTTTCGTATTATCGCTGATTTGATTTGATAAAAATTTTATTAATTGAAAGTTAGATTATTGATTGATTGACATCCGGTTGGGTTTTGGAGTTCGAACTCTTCCTTCATATCATACCCCACCTACATAGATTCCACTGAGTCTTGTTGTATTGTATACATTCTTCGTTCTTCGGCTCTCTGTTCTAGAAACTTTCTGTCGTAGATTTTATTTCTTACGTGTATGTTACGACATTTACAAATATAAAATACGACAGTTTTATTCTAAAAGCAACAAACAAACACAAGTAGAAAAGACTTTTCTTCAGCGGGCCAGGGGTCTGGTGACCCGACATTCATAGAATAATAATAAATCCTTGATTACCTAATTAATTCATACAAGAAATATACGGCTCTTCACATTCTATCCATATAATAGCTACAATTATTAATTATAACAATTTCATACAATTTACAATTTAGCGTCCAAATATTCTTCTACCGAATAAAACCCACCATTCAGTAGCAAACATTGTGTTATTAGTTTGATATTCTGTTAATTTATTATACAGATAAATTCCAATATAGTTGATACAATGTTGAGCTTTCCGTAAACGATGTTTAGGTGGTCGAAACACTTCTGCACTTCTGCGTGTACGTACATAATATAACAAATATACAGGTGTTCATTTCAAAACTTTTCACCTCAATTTCTGTAAATCCGGAAGTTTAAAAAGAAAATCGCTGAAATAAGTAAAGAATAAAACCAAGGGGGACAACTTTTTATGCAAAAATTGACTCACTCACTTCAACCCCCCGCCGCCAGAAACCAACCCCTTAAAAATCTTAAATGGAAAGGGGTGTCAAGTGATACCTCATTTTAAAGGTCTTTTAAGGTACTACATGTTAGTATTTATTTTTTTTAAATTGATCGATTCGTTTTCGAAATTTTTGCGAAAATCTTTGTTTTGTATTTCCCGCTTTAATTAATATTAAAAACTTTAATCACCTTCTTAAAAGCAAGAATAAGTAATCTTTTATTATTAATTTATAAAATTAAATTACCATGTTCGTTTTTACAACGACCATTAAACCTTTATTATTTCGGAGCAATCCGAAATCTTTGATATTTAGGTTATTTTGACAATGATATACCTACGTTGGCTAGCTTGCCTGGCGTCTGTCAGAGATATTTAGAAAAAACGATTTCTGTTTCATTTTTCTTTTCTTTTAGGTTTATTTGGTTATTACTTAAACAACTTTTAACTGCTTGAAACGTTCTATTTTATTTTCAGTTATTTAATTATGTACAAAAACTTTTTGCAGAGAAAATCAACTTAATAATTGTTCAAAGTGTTGTCCGTTATTAGCTAAACAATGGTACAACCGTTGTTCAAAACTACGGCGCACATTTTCAAAAACTTCCCTTTGAATTCCACGGCAAGCTGCAGTAATTCTCTGACGAAGTTCTTCTAAATTTTGAGGTTGAGGGGTAAATACAACAGACTTTAAATGACCCCATAAAAAAAGTCTAATGGCGTCAAATCTGGTGATCTGGCTGGCCATTCTATAGGACCTCTTCGTCCTATCCATCTGTTTGGAAACGTATTATCTAACCACTGTCGTACTGGGAGAACATAGTGAGGAGGAGCTCCGTCTTGTTGAAAATGTAATTCATTCTCATCAAGTAAGGCATTTTCTTCTCTATCCAACTGATTCTCGAGAGCTTCCGTAATTAGTGGATTGATAGTATTTTCTAACATATCCAAGTACACTTCGCCGTTTAAATTTCCATCGATAAACACTGGACCAATCACTTGGTCTCCCAAAATGCCGGCCCATACATTAACTTTTTCAGGATATTGTGTATGCCCTTCTACAGTCAGATGAGGGTTTTCATTACTCCAATATCTGCAGTTATGTTTATTTACAAATCCATTTAAAGAAAAAGTGCATTCATCACTAAAGCAGATATTTTTCACAAAAACGTTGTTATTATTAATAATAGTGGTCACTTCTTCACAAAACTGTATTCTCCTGTCAAAATCGTCTTCAGTTAGCTCTTGATGTATTTTCAATTTATAAGGATGGAATTTGTGAAGTTTTACAACTTTATGAACAGAACCCAAGGATATACCAGTTGCACGAGATACCTGACGCAATGAAGTATTGGGGTTGATACCGAAATGACCCAACACTTCCAGTTGAGCGGTTTCATTCAAAACTCTCGACTCATTATGTTTTATGTTGGCAACGGACCCAGTCTGAGTGAATTTCTTCATGATCTGGATGCCTTTCATTAAAAACTGCGGCAGTTCGTCGAGCACATTCATTTTGGGATCCATACATTAATACAATTTCAATCCTTTCCTGCAAACTGTAAACCATTATTGCTGTTTTATTTAAATAACTTTGTTAAGTGGATAACACAAAGTTGTTTAAGTAATAACCAAATAAACTTATGTTTAGAATTGCACTTTTATTTTATTCTTTTCTCGCACTGTGAGCCTGCCTATAACTCGTTTATAGAAAGAGAAAAATTTCGTCTCTTTTTTTCCTTTTTTTGGCCATTCGAGTCAAGAGTAATTTTCATACAGGTTTAATGTAAAATACTTTCAATAAAATTTAGTTTAATTCATAATTATACGTGTTTAGTTTTCTTAAATATTTCCGATTGCTCCGAAATAATAAAGGTTTAATGGTCGTTGTAAAAACGAACATGGTAATTTAATTTTATAAATTAATAATAAAAGATTACTTATTCTTGCTTTTAAGAAGGTGATTAAAGTTTTTAATATTAATTAAAGCGGGAAATACAAAACAAAGATTTTCGCAAAAATTTCGAAAACGAATCGATCAATTTAAAAAAAATAAATACTAACATGTAGTACCTTAAAAGACCTTTAAAATGAGGTATCACTTGACACCCCTTTCCATTTAAGATTTTTAAGGGGTTGGTTTCTGGCGGCGGGGGGTTGAAGTGAGTGTGTCAATTTTTGCATAAAAAGTTGTCCCCCTTGGTTTTATTCTTTACCTATTTCAGCGATATTCTTTTTAAACTTCCGTATTTACAGAAATTGACGTGGAAAGTTTTGAAATGAACACCCTGTATATTCTGCTGGGATGGTAAGTATATTACTTTTGAATGTATTATATAGGGTGTTTGTAACATACGGAGCAGACTAAAAAGGTAGGTACTAGGGGCCAAATTGAAGATATTTTTCTTAATAATGTTTTAACCACAACTTAATAGTCACAAAGATATAGAACATTGAAGTTGAACTAATGGCCGAGCATTTCTTACCATATGCGGTATTAGTAATGTTACCGTACGTCCCGTTTTGAACGGGATGGTCCCGTTTTTATGTTACCGGTCCCGTTGTCCCGAACAAACTCTAAAACATAAATATACAGTGTGTCCGTAAAGTAACGGATATAGGCGATAAAATCATAATAAACGGTTTATGGAAAAATCCCTGAAACGGGTCTAAAGATTTAAATTTTTTGGTGTAGATTTCAAATTTTTTCCGCCATTTTTAAACGAGTTATGGCGTCATCGATATTTTTTTTTAAATGGCAATCTCCCATTTTTATTGCGAAATATGAAAGAGGATTTTCTTCTGAATCTAGTACAGTCAATATTAATATTGGTTACATAAGAAAATTTTCGAGAAAAATTACTTTAAAGTTTAATTACTTCAAATTTGTATAATGATAAAAATAGCAGTAGCCATGAGTAACTATGGTAACCAATTATTTTAAACAATCCCCTGAGTGTCAAAAACTGATTTAGTAAATTGTAGTGAAATTAATATCGGGTATAGCAGCCAAAGCGCTGGATTAAAAGAAAACTATCCTTTTATAATGTTAAGCTTTCGGTCTTTATTTAGGCCTTCATCAGAACATTAAATCTACAATAAATCAAAAAATGAACAATGATAACAAAAATTAGACGCAATAAAACTTACGGGCAGAGCGCCAAAAAAAGTGAGGTTAAGAGCATGTCAACGGTTGAAGACCGCTGAACAACCAGCAAACGCAAGGTTTATAGAACATAAGGTTACCTCATTCCCTATGCCTTTGTAGTATCGATTATTACCCCGCAAATTGACGTCACTGGTTCGATACAGTCAGAATAAAAGATAGCCTATACTGTGGTACAGTCTTGGGTACAGTCTATATAAAATATTTAAACCTCGCATCGTGTTGTGTTGTTCACAGAACCAGCTACGTCACTGACCCACCTTGCCTCTCAGAGGAGGAGAATCGGTATTGGGTAACCTTATGTTTTATAGACCTTGCAGCAAACGGACTGGAAAACCAGGCGACGGGGGCGTCAAAAAACCAACAAATGTCCCAAGGCAGGTGAAAACCAAACCACAAAAGAGGAGAAAACCAAAAACTCCAAGGGCTAACGGAACGCACAAACACGTTAAAAAGACGTACGCCATATTACCGAAAGACGCGCAAGCGCATAACGGGGTCGATAAATCGAAAACTAACGGGAATTTCAAAAGAACTCAAAAAACCAAACCTAAAAGAAGATCCCCGAAACTTCAGGGATGGGGGGGGTGACCATTCTTGGATAAAAGATATTTATAAATGACACTCAAGTTTTGGGTGTCAGTCCTTGAGTTGATCGATGACTGTTCTTGA